TGGCTCTCTTGAAATTCGTATTGATTTTCATTAAATTAAAGAATCGATGTGTATATTAATTTAAGTTTCATCAGTTGTTTTCTTATTATGTAGCTTCATTTTTAATTTTGTAAATATGCATCATTCACTGCTAGGTCTACTGCTAAATAACGAAGGAAAACCTCGAAGGAAAACCTTATACAACTAACAATAAAATTGATTTCAACACGGAATTCAATTGCTAAACCAAGTCTACAAGTCTGGTGACGCTGCCAGGTTTATAGCAGCTTATAAAGCGCAATAATTGTTAGGTTAGGTTGCGTAAAGCTCTTAAAATGCATTGTTCACGACTTATTTCCTTACTCCAAACACTGCAATTGTTGCGCATTTTGGTTCTAACCCATAGAGAAATTTCCAATGAAACATATCGTCGACCCCATCTCACCGATTTCACGCTTCCAGTCTTCCCGAACAATCGACTATTATTTAGGCATCTTTTACGCGTGCTGACAACGCAGGATGCACGGTCCGCAAACTATCCAACAACCAATCTAACGAATTCTCGAGGTGTGCAATTGATGGATTTTGCAACGGCAAGAACACGAAGACTCCGTTAATTCTAACAATCACACTCGCGAGTACCTTTCTAACCATTCGAGCTATGTTATTAAGCCGTTCAAATGAATAATAGCTGTTATCGTGTTACTCTCCGCGAGACCCTTTCGCAAGGTAATTGCGGAGAAGTAGAAAATTGCGGTTCTCATTGAAGAAATCAAGCGATGATTTACCTGGGTCATCTGCAATTTTCTAGAATCGAGCATCGTCTCATCACTGGCTTTCGACAGATTATTCGAACAGATGTACAGGATATTTCATTAAAAACATGAATTGTGTTAATCCTTTAGTGAGGCTCAACATGATATATTTCTTTTGCATCTTACAAACAATTCAAATAAGTAGCTAAGTTCAATTTCATTTCAACTTTCATTTATTTACTACTTATAATAAATGAAAAATATATGAAAATTTTTTAGAAGTGTATAAAAATGTATAAGAATGTATAAACATATATGAAAGTGTATTTGTCACATACTCTGCACTTCTGCAACACATTTCATTGAGAACCCCTTTGTTCAGCCATTTTGTAAATTAAGGAACAGTCAGGTAAAAGAAATGAAGGAGTGTACAAAGTTAAATTGAAATGTAAGTTGTGTGGATGCATCACCAAATCGTTTAAGGTTGCAAAGTGACCTGCATCTCTAGCAATCATAATAGAACACGGTCTATTTGATTCATCGGTGACGCGTCATCCGCTAATTATAATTGACGATGCGTAAAACGGTCAGACTCCATCCTCATACCTGGAGCAACCTTGACCCAGCGGAACTCAATACCCAGTACCTTATTTCTGATACCTCTACATCTGATTGATTGATGGATTGATTATTGTTGTGGGCGTCGACTACTATTAGCCCGCTCTACACCTGAGTTTCTGATACTTCAACTATTTGGTACTTCAAATCTTCATTAACTCAGGTGAACCTGAAGAAAGTTCTTTGATTATCCACATATCATTGTACACTTCTAATTCGTATCTCTACTTGACGTTCAAAAGATTAATATCTCAGATAATACTTCAGATTACCAGACAATGTTTCAGATCAAAGATAAAGCTTCAGATCCAAAAGCAAAGGAAAGTACCATAGCTCAAGAAACTAGAAAGTAACAGATCACATGCTCCAACAGATTTTATAAATACGATGTTGCCGAACAGAAGTCGATAAAAGTAAAACAACAAAGAAAATCGGCCGAAGAAAGTCCATTGTCGAGTATCGCAAGAGTAGCGGGTCAGTGACGATAAGAAAGAGAAACTGTTTTCTATTGGTTGATTGTGGGTGAATTATCTCGTTTAGAGTTCGTATATGAGAAACGAGCGGAGGCGGAATATTTGGCTGACGATAAGCAGAGTCTACGGATGAACTTGCCGGACTAGTCTGTACGGGGAGAAATTCGGAAAAAGAAAGCCAGAAACTGGAGGGGTCGTCCGGTAATGGTTAGCTAGATAGGAGAGCGGTTCGAGTTTTTCCGTTTGTCTAGTGGCAAAAAAGAGCGCGGTGTCGAGGGAGAGGCTGGGAAAAGGGAAATCAGACGGTTGAAATCGGACCTGGTTCACTGGCTGACTTGTCGATAGCTGTTTATGATACGTTTAATTTTTGTTGAGCGGTGGGTGATTGTTGGATTTGGGAGATGGGGATGGGGAGAAATTCGGAAAAAGAAAGCCAGAAACTGGAGGGGTCGTCCGGTAATGGTTAGCTAGATAGGAGAGCGGTTCGAGTTTTTCCGTTTGTCTAGTGGCAAAAAAGAGCGCGGTGTCGAGGGAGAGGCTGGGAAAAGGGAAATCAGACGGTTGAAATCGGACCTGGTTCACTGGCTGACTTGTCGATAGCTGTTTATGATACGTTTAATTTTTGTTGAGCGGTGGGTGATTGTTGATTTGGGGAGATGGGGATTTGGGGAGATGGGAATTTGGAGAGATGGGGATTTGGGAGATGGGGATTTGGGAGATGGGGATTTGGGGAGATGGGAATTTGGGGAAATGGGGATTTGGGAGATGGGGATTTGGGGAGATGGGTATTTGGAGAGATGGGGATTCGGGGAGATGGGGATTTGGGGAGATGGGAATTTGGGGAAATGGGGATTTGGGAGATGGGGATTTGGGGAGATGGGAATTTGGGAAGATGGGTATTTGGAGAGATGGGGATTTGGGGAGATGGGGATTTGGGGAGATGGGTATTTGGAGAGATGGGGATTCGGGAAGATGGGAATTTGGGAGATGGGGATTTGGGGAGATGGGAATTCGGGGAGATGGTTATTTGGGGAGATGGAGATTTGGGGAGATGGGTATTCGGGAAGATGGGGATTCGGGGAGATGGAAATTTAGAAAGATGGGGATTTCGAAATTTGGGAATAGTGGGATTTGAGCACCTGGAGATTTGTGGATTTAGGAATATGAGAATTGAACAATTGTAGAAATTGAGAAAGTTGGCATTTGAGAATTTGGAAATTGAGAAATTAAGGAATTGGAGGATTGGGGGATTGGAGAATTGGAGGATTAGGGAATTGGCGAACTTTCAAGTTTGGGAATTTGGAAAGTGGAGTACTTGGAAATTTCTCATCTTAGAAATTTGTGACTTGAAAGTTTGGAACTTTATAAATATAATAATTTAGAAACTTAAAAATGTAAGAACTTAAGAATTTCAGAATGTGGAAGCTTGAGAATTTAGGAATTAAGAAATGTAGAACTTAATTTGAGAATGTAGGGACTTTGAAATTCACAAGCTTTTTAATATAAAAATTTAGAACCTGATAATTTGAGGACTTGGCAACTTAGAAATGTACAAGCTTGTTAATATAAAATCTTAGTATCTGATAATTTGCAAATTTCACATCTTAGAAATTTAGAATTAAAAAATTTGAGGCCTCCATGAATACTAATTTCAACCTTACATTCAATTCAAACTTACTAATAAAAGTTCATTAATTTTTATTCGTAATATCTCGTGTTATTAAAATTCTGCAAGACATCGAGAAACCGTTGCAAGAGCTCTTCTGGACGTTAGTTTATCTAGATAACATGCGATCTTCGCATTGCGAATATTTTTCCGGTAGAAGATCTAGGTCGTAAGTTCAGGAGACGATCCGTAACTCCTCGACCTGTAATCTGAAACGGCCGGTGTCTCCGTTTTCCCACCGATATCTTCTACTAGAATTCTCCATTGTCCATCTACCAGACTATAATGCTCGTTTCTTTCGCTTCTTTTTACCTTCTTGTTATGCTAAACGTACATATGTCATACATGTCTTCCTCAACGAATATGTACGCTCATGACAAATATATGAACAGAGAATAACGGTGTTTGTATTGAGACGTTTATATGCGTCTACATCTTTGTGAAGAATACCTTGAATTTTAGTTGAACTTTGAGTATCCTTCCTTTTATGCTTGAGCAAAAAGGAGAATATTTAATATGGCGGATTGTAAGAAGGACGTGAACGAGTACTTACGAACAAGTAATTATCAAGTATTACTGGGTAATTCATTACAATAGCCATACAATTTTTCAATTTAATTTTCTAAGTTATTATACCTTTGGTGTAATATCGGTAATATGTGTTATTGAAATTTGAAAACACCATGTGTTTACTGTGTAAAGTTCAGAGATATGCTTGATGCAATGTACTGACAACCTTAGGTGTCAAAAATACCCGTCGATGATATAACGAGTTAAAAATGCACAACGGTAACGTAACTCGATGATAATGTACTGTATGATTACAGAATGCATTGAATATACAACTCTCCGATAACAAGGCGTCGATAACACAGCGTGTCGATAATGCCATTATTAGAAATTATAATGTTCTGATAATTCAACGCGTAGACAGTACAACGCGTCAATATTACAACGTATCGAAATTACAATGCGTCGAAATTACAACGCATTGAAATTCCAACGCGTCAAATTTACAACGCGTCGAAATCACAACGCGTCGAAATTACAACGCATCGAAATTCCAACGCGTCGAAATTACAACGCGTCGAAATTCCAACGCGTCGAAATTACAACGCATCGAAATTCCGACGCGTCAAATTTACAACGCGTGGAAATCACAATGCGTCGAAATTACAACGCATCGAAATTCCAACGCGTCGAAATTACAACGCATCGAAATTCCAACGCGTCGAAATTCCAACGCGTCAAATTTACAGCGCGTGGAAATCACAACGCGTCAATATTACAACGTATCGAAATTACAATGCGTCGAAATCACAACGCGCCGAAATCACAACGCATCCAAATTAGAACGCGTCGAAATCACAACGCGTCGAAATTACTACGCATCGAAATTAAAACGCGTCGAAATTACAACGCGTGGAAATCACAACGCATCCAAATTAGAACGCGTCGAAATTACTACGCATCGAAATTAAAACGCGTCGAAATTACAACGCGTGGAAATCACAACGCATCCAAATTAGAACGCGTCGAAATTACTACGCATGGAAATTAAAACGCGCGGAAATCGCAACGCATCCAAATTAGAATGCATCAAAATTACAACACGTCAAAATTACAATGCGTTGAAGTCACAACGCGTCGAAATTGCAACGCCTCGGAAATGCAACCTACCGACAGCGCAACGCGCCAATAATACAACCCATGGTTATACACCTTATCACAAATCTGATAACCCGTCTCCTACGATCTTCTAGAGCGTCACTAATGCGTCTAAAATCCGGCAAAAAAATGGCAATATAACGGGAGTCTGTCCCAAAAGTGCTGCTAAACTATCTCTTGAACGTTTCATAAATAATATAGCTCGTCCCCCATAATCCAGATGCAGCATGCAATTAGAAAACTAGCTGGTTCTGTCTTCAATCGGATCAAAGGTCCCACGATTTGATCTCCTCGCTAATTACAACCTAAGACTTGACATGTGTTCAAAACATCGGTATAAATCAAGTAATCTGCCTCTAATTTTCTACTGCTTAAACGAGATCGATTTATCGATCGTAACTTTCCCTTCTCACGACTATCGATCGAACAGGTTCCGATCGAGTGTCCTATTCAAACGAGGCTCATTAACGTTTCTGGTTCGAGGAACCCATTTTTTTCTTCATTACCGAGATGGAACTATCGATGTCTTCCTTTAGAAAAAATATAACCAAGCGTTCCAGCAGATTGTTATTCAGGCGTTATGCTAATCACGACGCAACGAGCCGAGGATACCGTTGCGATGCTTCTGCAATCTATCAGTCTGCTCTGCGGAGCGTACAGTTGTGACATTGTCGCATTTATTTTGGACGAATTCTCATCTTAAGTCGATGGCTGACTAACGGAGTTATCGGTTCCGGGATGCAGCTACTTCGGCAGTTCCGTAACCGTTACGTTCTCGAGATCGATAAAGTAATCAGAGTGTTGAAAATTATCGGTTTCGCTTGTACTGTTTTGTTGTATCGCTAAACACGTGAAGTATGTTTGATGAAATTCCTGATAATATGTGACGATTATTTATGACGAATATATTCGTACGGGTTGTTTGGATTTATGGGTGTCGACTACTGTTGTTGTTAAACAGCAAGGTGCAACTATCAGTCACTTTTTTCATTTACTATACTTAACCCCTTGCTGTACTTTGACATGTCTCAATCGTTATGCACTCACAGTTCAAATATGACAAACTTTACCCATATTTTTAATACACTTCAACTTGAAATTTAGGTCCAGGTATAATTTGTGTAGTCAAGCATCTATCTATGTTAGAACATAGCTCAGAACAATATATGTTAGTATGATCAACTGTCTCGAAGTTCGAAAAGGTATAATTTGCAGAATGCATCGATTGCGTGTGCAACATGAAATTGAAAGGATTCGTTTTCGCAGGAGAGCCCGCGGCGGCGCAAGAGTGGCCAACGCCTCTCGACGAGTCCGCGGATGAGAAGAACGATGCTGAAATCTTTCGAGCGGTCGTCGAATCCATGAGAGAATGGTCGTTGCACAAGAAATTGCATCAAAGGACAAAGAGAGAGGTGTCGAAAGTCTGCTACGAAGATGTCGGCTGTTTCGAGGACACGGGACCCTTCAGCTACTTGGAGATGCTACCGTCGCCACCCAAAGATGTCGGCACAAGGTCCTCTTCTTATTTATTTATCATTCACTAGATTCTTCACTATACATATTTTTTGTATTACATGTGCTTCATTGTACGAATCGTCGTTACTAGGTCCTCTTCTTTCTTCAGCTATCATTCACTAGATTCTTCAATATACATATCTTTTGTGTTACACATCCTTCAGTGTACAACGCATCGAAATTCCAACGCGTCGAAATTGCAACGCATCGAAATTCCAACGCGTCGAAATTGCAACGCGTCGAAATTCCAACGCGTCGAAATTACAATGCGTCGAAATTCCAACGCGTCGAAATTACAACGCATCGAAATTCGAACGCGTCGAAATTACAACGCATCGAAATTCCAACGCGTCAAGTTTACAACGCGTCGAAATCACAACGCGTCAATATTACAACGCATCGAAATTCCAACGCGTCAAGTTTACAACGCGTCGAAATCACAGCTCGTCAATATTACAACGTATCGAAATTACAATGCGTCGAAATTACAACGCGTCGTCGCCATGAGGTCCTCTTCTTTCTTCAGCTATTATTTACTAAATCCTTCATTATTCACATCTTTCATGTTACACATTCTTCATTGTACAAATCGTCGTCACCCAAACATATCGGCACCAGGTCCTCTTCTTTCTTCATCTATCAATCACTATACTTCATCTATCCTTCATTAACTACATCCTTCATTATGTAAATCAATTCATTTTACACCGTAATACTCCGACACTCTGCACCGTTACAAGCTGCACTTGCATTTCATCGTTTACTTTCATTGCTAACTGTTTGTTCGGAAACTTCAATTTCTTCGATCTGGTAGCTGTGAAGTGCACTTGCACTTCGTTTACTTTCTTTGATAACTTGTTTAAAACTTGAATTTCTTTGATGATAGTGCTGCTGTTTCAAGCATCGATCGTTTACTTCGGTAACTTCTTATTTGAAACTTCAATTTCTTTGATCATCCTAGCGATGCAGTTCTAAGCATTTACATCCGATAGTCCACTTTGAGGAATCTTCTTATTTGAGAAACTGTAATTTCTTTGATGATCTTGCTGTTTTAAAATGCTATCGATCATTTACTTTCCTTCAAATCATTTTTTAGGCGATAAACCTTAATTTCTTTTATGATTGTGTTGCTGTAGTTGCATTTCATTATCTACTTTCTTCAGTAACTTTTTATTCAAACTTCATATTTAATGTTCATATGCCAGTCGTAAGAGTATTTTTATTTCATTGATTTTTTACTTTAACTATTGTGCATTTCATTATTTACTTTCTTCAACAACTTTTTATTCAAACTTTATATTTAATGGTTATGTTCATACGTAAGTCATAAAAGTATTTTTATTTCATTGATTTCTTACTTATCCATTGTGCATTTCCTTTGGTAACTTCTTATTCAAACTTTAAATTTAATGATCATATTCATACGTAAGTCATAAGAGTATATTTATTTCACTGATTTCTTGTTTAACAATTATGCATTTCACTGACGATATTCATTTTAAGTTTAATAGCCATATTCATACGTAAGTCATAAATGTATTTTCATTTCATCGATTTCTTACTTAACAATTGTACATTTCACTGACGGTATTAGAGCGGTTGCATGCTATAGTTGCATGATAGGAGAGATAGCATCTTCCTTTGTTAATGAGTATCCATTAGGAAATTTGAATCGTGATGTAATATGTACGATTACAGATTTCTGGTATACGGTAGCAGAAAAGCGAGGTCGATTCCGATGGAAGTTCCCGCCGATGATATAAACGATAATGCGCATCGTGCCATAGATCCTGATCTACCTACCAAAGTGATTGTACACGGTTTTGGATCCAGCTGCGATCACGTATGGGTTTACGAAATGAGATCCGCGCTAATGACCGTGCACGAGTGTAATATAGGTTGGTAATTATTCTTTATATTCAAGAAACTGTTAGATCAAGTTTATACCTGATTAATCCTAGTTAACACAATCTTATGAATTCCATATTAAGTTTGTAAATTTGTGCATTGTTAGAGAAGTCACTTCTTGATCAAGAATGAACAAAGAATTTGATTGAACAAATTTTTATTTGAATTCAGAGTTCATTTGTGATCAAGGATGATCAAGGATGATCAAGGAGTATGATTGAGCAAATTTTTATTTGAATTTGGAGTTCACTTGTGATCAAGGATGATAGAGGAATTTGATGGAGCAAATTTTTGTTTGAATTTAGAGTTCACTTGTGATCAAAGATGATCAAAGATGATCAAAGATGATCAAAGATGATCAAAGATGATCAAAGATGATCAAAGATGATCAAAGATGATCAAAGATGATCAAAGATGATCAAAGATGATCAAAGATGATCAAAGATGATCAAAGATGATCAAAGATGATCAAAGATGATCAAAGATGATCAAAGATGATCAAAGATGATCAAAGATGATCAAAGATGATCAAAGATGATCAAAGATGATCAAAGATGATCAAAGATGATCAAAGATGATCAAAGATGATCAAAGATGATCAAAGATGATCAAAGATGATCAAAGATGATCAAAGATGATCAAAGATGATCAAAGATGATCAAAGATGATCAAAGATGATCAAAGATGATCAAAGATGATCAAAGATGATCAAAGATGATCAAAGATGATCAAAGATGATCAAAGATGATCAAAGATGATCAAAGATGATCAAAGATGATCAAAGATGATCAAAGATGATCAAAGATGATCAAAGATGATCAAAGATGATCAAAGATGATCAAAGATGATCAAAGATGATCAAAGATGATCAAAGATGATCAAAGATGATCAAAGATGATCAAAGATGATCAAAGATGATCAAAGATGATCAAAGATGATCAAAGATGATCAAAGATGATCAAAGATGATCAAAGATGATCAAAGATGATCAAAGATGATCAAAGATGATCAAAGATGATCAAGGAATTTGATTGAGCAAATTTTTATTTGAATTTGGAGTTCACTTGTGATCAAGAATGATAGAGGAATTTGATTGAGCAAATTTTTGTTTGAATTTAGAGTTCACTTGTGATCAAGGATGATCAAAGATGATCAAGGAATTTGATGGAGCAAATTTTGATTTGAATTTAGAGTTCACTTGTGATCAAGAATGATAGAGAAATTTGATTGAGCAAATTTTTGTTTGAATTTGGAATTCACTTGTGATCAAAGATGATCAAGAATGATCAAGGAATATGATTAAGCAAATTTTTATTTGAATTCACAGTTCACTTGTGATCAAGAATGATCAAGGAATTTGATGGAGCAAATTTTTGTTTGAATTTAGAGTTCACTTATGATCAAGAATCATAGAGGAATTTGATAGACGATATTTTATTTTAGGATATGAACAAGATAGAGGATAGAGTGACATTTTATTTAAAATTTTGCAATTAGTGCTACTATAAATTTTCTTTCCGTAACTCGATAATAAATCAGTAAGGACAGACGAGCCAAGCAAGGCAGCAATTATGCAAGCTAGCGACTGGAAAGCCTTAAATCAAAACAAGAAATTGTTGTGTCCCCTAATTGCTATTATACACAACGATTTTTAATTAAGGTAGTTAACGTGTTAAACCGAATGCGTTGAAATGTGGATCATTCTCGAGAATGATTCACAACTTTCACATTCGTTATGTTTATTTCTATTGTTTGAACTACGAGCATACATAGAAATCAACAAGAAGTTAGAGAACTCTAAAATTTTTTAGTCTATGTTTCAATAAAGTTACGTTAATTTCTTGTCAAATTAGGGTTAAATCCGGTTAAATTAAGGGTGTAATTTCAGTGTGCGTCGATTGGGGTCCAGGAAGTGCAGTTCCTAACTACGTAAGAGCGGCGGCCAATACTCGTTTGGTCGGCAGACAATTAGCGAAACTAATTAGAAGTTTGAACGTACCTTTGGAGAAGGTTCATCTGATTGGGTTCAGCTTGGGCGCCCACGTGGCTGGATTCGCTGGTGCCGAATTGGGAAACGTCTCCAGGATCACAGGTACTCATTAATTATTTCACAACTTAACTTTCAAATTTCCAAACGTTCGAAATTACAAATACATAAGTATTTCAAATGTATTCTTATTATTGTCATAACTTCCCAAGGATATCGACTTGCAAATACGTTGAATTGTATTCTCTTGGATTCACGCTACGTTTCATTATTCGAATGTAATACTTTCATTTATGGGTACCCATGCACTTGATTATTTATTTGCTTCCAGTGGCGCAATCGCTGCACTCGAATTGCATAACGTATTACAGTTACCTGCAATGTTGTTGTCCTTCGGAACCCACACTCTTTCGAGTAAAAGGGTAGACGCTCTGTCAGGATACGCTTTTCCAATTAAGTGAAAAAGTCTGCTGCGAGTGTTGGTGTCGAATCGATTAAATCTACCGTTCTCTCCTGTCATTCTCGATACAAAACTTCGCTTTACGAAATCGTGGAACGTTATAGCAAGAAAATTGGGTTAATTGCTCGAATATGAATATCTATCATTTTTCAACTTTTTACCTATTCACGTGTAACAAATTTATGACACAAAGTTGAATAACTATCAATAATTATATCTCGATCGAATCGCTAATTGGCCGCTCGCCACAAGTTATAATTACATTTCCTTCGTTTTTTACGCGTCAACGGCTACTTGTGCCGAGGTTGAGTATTCATGGTTCGAGAAATTTTCCTTTCTGTCACGGTGTATGAATGCCATGCAATACTTGATCCGCCTTCAATAAACTCATACTTTTTATCGAAACTTTCAGTTTGTTCAAACATTCGTCGCAAACACTCTTTGCAAACAGTTGGTTTTTGAAAATGGGGTGTTGTAGGTTTGGATCCTGCGGGACCCCTCTTCGAATCCCAAGATCCACGGGCTCGATTAGACCAGACGGATGCCAACTTCGTCGACGTGATTCACAGCAACGGTGAACAACTGTTGCTGGGTGGTTTGGGTTCCTGGCAACCCATGGGCGACGTGGACTTTTATCCTAACGGTGGCAGAATGCAGACAGGGTGCTCCAATTTGTTCCTTGGCGCTGTTTCAGACATCATTTGGTGTAAGTATATGTCACATGTGTATCATAAGGTTTATATGACAATCAGACATCAAAGAAATTTTGTCAAAAGTGAAAATTCGAAGGACAAGATGCTTATATGTATCAATAAAATGTGTACATGTATTAATAAGATGCATACATGTATGTATCACATGTGTATCATTTGGTGTATATGACAATCAGACTCCAGAAATTTTGTCAAAAATAAAAATTCGAAGGACAAGATGCATACATGCATCAATAAGATGTGAACATGTATTAACAAGATGCATACATGTATGCATCACATGTGTATCATTTAGTGTATATGGCAATCAGACTCCAGAAATTTTTTCAAAAATAAGAATTCGAAGGACAAGATGCTTATATGCATCAACAAGATGTGTACCTATATCAATAAGATGCATACATGTATGTATCACATGTGTATCATTTAGTGTATATAACAATAAGACGTCAAAGAAATTTTTTCAAAAATGAAAATTCGAAGAACAAGATGCTTATATGCATCAACAAGATGTGTACATATATCAATAAGATGCATACATGTATGTATCACATGTGTATCATTTGGTGTATATGACAATCAGACTCCAGAAATTTTGTCAAAAATAAAAATTCGAAGGACAAGATGCATACATGCATCAATAAGATGTGCACATGTATCAATAAGATGCATACATGTATGTTTCACATGTGTATCATTTGGTGTATATGGCAATCAGACTCCAGAAATTTTGTCAAAAATAAAAATTTGAAAGACAAGATGCATACATGCATCAACAAGATGTGTACATGTATCGACAAGATGCATATATGCATCAACAAGATGTGTACATATATCAATAAGATGCATACATGTATGTATCACATGTGTATTATTTAGTGTATATGACAATCAGACTCCAGAAATTTTGTCAAAAATAAAAATTCGAAGGACAAGATGCTTATATGCATCAACAAGATGTGTACATGTATCAACAAGATGCATGTATATTTCTAATACAACGTGAGATCGTTCTTGAAGAACTGAACTCCAGAAAAACATACGAAGCACATATTTTGCAGCGTCCTGTACAACCAGCAAAAAAGAAAGTATCTCAAGGTTTTCGCAACTTGACCCATCATAATAAAACGTCACACGTTATCATAGTTGTCTAAAAAAGCCTTGATCTAAGAAGCTGTACAGACTAGAGATTAGAAAGTCCGCCACAACGATGGCAATACTACACTCGTTCGGATAATGTTACCTTCTCCGCAGCGGATCGAATTCTTTATCCGAAAGAAAGCGGGTCACCGGTGTCCCCTTCGTCAGACCGTTAAATATTCAAGTTAAAAGCTAACATTTATATGCGTTAACAATTATTTTTGTCATTAAAGCGAGCGCCGTCGAGGGCAGGTCGCTGTGCAACCACAGGCGAGCGTACAAGCTCTTCACCGACTCGGTCAGCCCCAAATGTCGCTTCCCGGCGTTTCCATGTGAGCATGGCTACGATGGTCTTCTACGAGGCGACTGTTTCCCTTGCGGAGCGAACAATATGGGGAAACCGTGTGGTGACATGGGTTACTACAGTGATGAGTCGCCAGCGAGGGGTCAACTGTATCTGGTGACCAGGGACGAGGAACCCTTCTGCGCGCATCAGTACCAGGTGAAGGTGTACAACAGCCGTCGCGAACGACCCACCAGAAGTTATGGCAAGTTGCAAGTGACTTTGGTCGGAGATGGCTCCTTTAACGACAGCTTTGCGATGACGCGCAAGGACGAGGAACTTCTGGTGGGGTCCGTTCTTCAGAAGATCGTTGTTCCGCACCCTGCGATATCGGGTCTGGAAGCTATCGAGGTGAGGACTCAAAGTTTAGTACTTCAGTAGTTTAGGAATACATTATTTGAATCGGGATGCACTCGGTTGCTCATTTATAATCTAACGCTTTTATAATAGTGTGATTTACGGCTCTCTTCTTTGTTTTAACCCCTTAGCCTACACGATTTTCGTCAGTCAGAGCTGCCTAATTATTACTGCAGCATTAAAGCAAATAAAGAATGTTGAAATGTTAAGTGTAATTTGGATTTAGCAATCTTAAATTATGCAAACTGCAATTAGCATCATATTCAAAACTCAATCTTTCTGCAAATACGATGTAGTTTCGTCACATTTGAACTGCAACGTGTGTCACGAGTCTGACTCGTGGTTACAGACTAAGGGGTTAATAATAAAATAAGCTGACAGTATAAAAATAAAATACCATGTGTATATATGTAACATGAACATATGGACGCTCTGTGAATATATAGAGCGAGGCACTTAAAGCAACTTGAAAACCACCTTAAAACAATCTGAATGGCTGCTGTTGCTGATAGGAAAAAATGCATCAGGCCAAAATTATTTAGTATCAAGGAACTAGTAATATCATGTCAGACCTTCCATGTCTGATGCACTCCAAGATGTCCGCTTTAAGTGCCTCATCCTATGAATTACACTATCCATAATTTCTACTCATTTCCCTATATTTTTCATTATCTTCTGCCACAGATCAAGTACACAGCGTACAGCGGTTGGATATCATCAGGCCTAGTGTCTTGGAGCATCGACAAGGTGGCCATAATCGACAGCTTCGGCAAAACGCTATCCGTCTGCAGGAAGGGCTTGACGTTAGAGTCCGGCAAGCCCATATTCCTCCCCCTGTTCGCCGGGGAATGCAACATACCCACCGAAAGCGAAAATTCGACGTCGCCTGTAGGACGACTGCTGCAGGAGAAGCAGGGAGGCATCGGTCCGTTCACCAAAGAGCACAATTACGATCCGAAAGACAGCTTCTCGGTAGAAACCTTCTCAAACGAGCGTACCTCGTCGGTGTCCTCGTCGAAGGGTTTAGGTCCGTACACCAAGGAGCAGAATCTGCGGATAATCGAACGGAAGGAGAGCTTCAAGAACTTCGAGGAGAACGGTAACCGCCGCAGCACCTCGAATCCTTGGAACATCGTCGACATATCTGCGGACGGGGACTCGAATTCTTTGGAGAACTCTGATGCGGAGAAGGGTAGAGGGTTCTCTGGATCCAACTTCTTCACCAAAGCTCCCTCTTCCGATCCTTCCGTCGAATCAACCACGGAGTACTTGCCGGAGATCCGCGAACCGGTGCTGCAGGTGAACAAGAAGGAAGCAGGGAGGTCCTTGAAGTTCCCCGAAATAACAGAGCCGATTCTAAGGCCGCGCTCCGCTAGGCAGAACACGAGGAACGAGGTCCACGTCCGGGAGAAGCAGAAGGACGAGATTCAGGAGACCTCTTCGACCTCCAGAGCGTTCACGGTGCAGTTCCTGCCGGAGAGGCTCGCTGGAATCCTGGCGCAGGCTGAGAGGTACGCCAGGCAGACTCTTCTTCCTTTGATCTCGCAGTACACCCCTAGCTTCGTGACCGGGTCACGCTACGAGGAGCCCAAGTACTTTCCACCCCTCGGCGAGATCGCTTCGGAGGACAGGGAGGAAACCACCGTAAACAAGGACCAGGAGTTCGACTCGCAGACCGACTCCAACGAAGCCAAACACGAGGACTCCGACGAAGGAGTATCCGCGATTGTCGAGGAGGTTCACAATGGCGGATCGAACTCCTCGAAGAACGAGTGGGTGCCCATAGAACCGGTGTCTTCTAGGAAAGATCATAACGTCTCCAGGTCCCTCAACTGGGGCCACGAGAAATACAACTGGTCCACTCACTCAGAGAGCAGCTTCGAAACCAACATCGACGACTGGGTGCCCATCACCAAGAAGGACAATTCTGAACCTTCGAATAACTCGAACGAAGTTTCCGCCAACGACAGGGATGTTCAAGAATCTGTAACGGAAAGTCTTAGGAACGAGACGAACGAAGACAAGGACGAGAGGAAGTTCATACCTCTGTTTGACCCAGATGAATCATCCACTTCGGACGACTCTGAAACTCGCTCGAGCACTTACTCTCACATTCAGAAGATTCCGAGACCTGCGGGGAGGAACGCTAGTGGAAATTTGACGAGGAGCATGGTATTCCCGTATGCGTACGAGAGGAAGAAGGATCCTAGGACTAGGTACATTCCTCTGATACCTGAGGAGGATCTGGGGAGGTCTCGCTTCGTATTTGATAGGGAACGATGAACTGAAACTATTGCGTAGAATTTGCGATCGTGGTAAATGTGGTCTGTCGTCAAAAGGGGGTTGTGTTCTTGAAAGTTCGGAAATAGTGAGGGACGTGGATCTTTGTCTTTCGACTTCTCATTATTAGCATTCGAAGAATTCATCATGACATTAATTTAATCAGGATACCACGAAAATTTATTATCGTAATGGCAATCGTGTTGTATTTAAATTTGAGGGTCTGAATGTGGTAAAATTTAGAATCTTGAAATCTGATAATTTACATGTTTGGAAATTTGGAAATTTGAAGACCCTCATGTTACACTTAATTAAGAGATGGATCCCACTTGAATCGAATGGGAATAATTGAACGATCCCTAATTTGAAGACAGACCATTTGTTGAAACGTTGATTAATTTAATGCCAGTATGTGCAGTCCGCATCTGTAACATCGGGGAATGAACGGCTTCAACGAAGAAAGCTTTAATGTTTGGTAAAAATTGGAGCCTTAACTTTATTTTTGTATATAGGAATTTTTTTACAATATACACATATATATGTATATACATACATACATATATATGTATATAGCTTCGCTGAAATCTGTTATCTTTCACATTCGTTACCGTTATTAATTCTTAGTTATTAGAATTGTTATTATCATCATCATCATCTCGTAATAGGTTCCCCATCGCGTTTTATTTATGCCGAACGGACGATCATAAGTGCGAAATCCCACATTTTTGTTTCTTTTGTATATAATGACCCAATGATTCTCGAGGAATCGCGAAGAATCGCTGAAATAGTATTATAACTTTTCCCTTCGTTAATTAATGTATGTACAGCTAAAATGTCCGCGGGAGCCGCAATTGTTCGCGGCTCACGGAGGACCGGATAGTCAAAAACGTATGGAAGAGACGATTTTAAATGGACTTCTATCGTGTATCTATAATATACCTGTTGTTTTTACTTAAAATAAATAACCCTCTTTTAAGAAGAAAAATGCGCCTTACAAGTCCGATGTACCTCATTTTTTTGTTCTTTTTTTCTTTTTTTAATCACTCACACTCTTTCACACGCTCTATGCCTTTCTCTTCTCTCTCTCGATCCTTCACGAGTAACAAACTTATTTCAGGATATGCCCACTCCTGATATGTTCGACTATTAAAAATAACTCGATTCGCAGTCCTCGCTTCAACGTTTCTTCAGGTACCGATTGACGCGTCGAAACAGAACGCATCGTTCCACGTGGGGTCGACTCGATGCAAACGCAAACGTAATTTTCATTTCGCGGACAAAACTCTTTATTTCTATTCACTTATTACAATTACGTGCTGTACTGTTACGCTTTCGTATTTCATAAAGACAAGTCGTAATAGCAATGCTTTGTTGGTTCAAGAAATTACTTTCTTCTAACTTCTTCTGTCTCAAACAATTGCCTTTAGTCTATGTTTACAATCTTTATTGCTGTCAATTTTTGTTAAAGTTAAAATAAAATTCTTTTTCCTTGAGATTGTTCATAATCATCATTGCTATCAATTTTCTTTAATGTTAAAATAAAATTCATTTTTCTTGAAGTTGTTCATAATCATCATTGCTATCAATTTTCTTTAATGTTAAAATAAAATTCATTTTTCTTGAAGTTGTTCATAATCATCATTGCTATCAATTTTCTTTAATGTTAAAATAAAATTCATTTTTCTTGAAGTTGTTCATAATCATCATTGCTATCAATTTTCTTTAATGTTAAAATAAAATTCATTTTTCTTGAAGTTGTTCATAATCATCATTGCTATCAATTTTCTTTAATGTTAAAATAAAATTCATTTTTCTTGAAGTTGTTCATAATCATCATTGCTACCAATTTTCTTTAATCTTAAAATAAAATTCATTTTTCTTGCAGTTGTTCAGAATCATCATTGCTATCAATTTTCTTTAATGTTAAAATAAAATTCATTTTTCTTGAAGTTGTTCATAATCATCATTGCTATCAATTTTCTTTAATCTTAAAATAAAATTCATTTTTCCTGAAGTTGTTCATAGTCATCATTATCAATTTTCATTAAAGTTAAAATAAAATTTATTTTCTTTGAAATTTTTCATAATCATCATTGCTATCAATTTTCATTAATGTAAAAATAAAATTAGCGTTGCTTGAAATTCTTCATAAAATAAATTTTATATCATTGTTCCTTAATCTGAATGAAATAAAAAATTCATACAATACATCGCTTTGTAACAACCAATAAAAATGGTAAACCTTGCATTTGCAATAAGTGAACAGCAAAGAGTTGTCCACGTAAAACAGAATAAAAAAATATGTCCTAGCAGTGAAGTTAAAAAAGAGCAATCTTGCATTGATTCGACGGGACGAAAGAAAAATCTTGGTTTCTGGTCGACGGTGTATTCCGTTAGGCAAGGAAGAAGGGACTGCGAATGTAATGAAAAACTTACTACTTACATACATATTTAACAAACACGCAGTCTTATCAAGTAGAACCCGTGAACGAACTCTGACAAGTAAAAAGGTATAGTAGTAGCCTATCGTATAATATACTCTAGTAGAAATTTGGTTCGACTTGTCCCGCAACCAGGGCGACGAAACGATTGACGCTGAAACTCAAACTAATAGTTACCCACAGTTCTTACGTGATTTACTACACATACACAGTATCGTTCTACGAGCAAACATTGACGGAAATGAAACTTTCAACCCCTTGCGTTGGTAACCTGAGCCAAAAATGAACGATGATGCTTGGGACAACAGTTGGGGTGAGATAATAGCAAATATTTTATGTTAGAAAGGAAACTGACAGGGTTGGAGTGACCCATTTATCCACTTATTTATCTTGTGGGTCAAAATTATAAGAAAAATTAACTATGGAACTCTACTCAATGTTCACAACAGTTGGGTCAAGTAGCAAATATTGAACATTTTATTGTAGAAAGGAAATTAACAGAATTGGAGTGACCCTTCACTTATTCACCATATTCACATGGGTCAAAATTATAATAAAAATTAACTACGGTACTCTACCAATGTTGATAATAATTAGGACAAGTAGCAAATATTGAACATTTTATGTTAGAAAGGAAATTAACAGGGTTGCAGTGACCCTTCCCTTATTCACCTTATTCACATGGATCAAAATAAGAAAAATTAACTATGGAACCCAATGTTGACCTTCTCTACCTTTGGATCACTCGTCCACTTAACATAAATAATATTAAAATTTGTCTTAAACAAAAAAAATTATGTCATAAGTAATTAATGTAACATCTTTCAAACCAAATAAAACCAACGCAAGGGGTTAACAAATGGAGTCTGACAATAACAGAATATAAACTAATTTGATTGAATTAATCAAAGGCTAGGAGTACACTGAAAACCATCGCTTTCTCACTAGTAAAAATATTATACAATCGGCCGACAAGTGTCGAGCTACAAACAATGACGCCTGCAATAAGCAACCGTAAAATTCTTAAAAATATGTCGTCCAATGTACTCGTGACCTAAGAAACGAACTAAAATAGGACATCCAAGATCAGGAAGACGATTCTATACCCTCTGTCAGGTGACTTATCAAGATACTGTATTTGTGTAACACGGCATAACTAAAAAGCAGTACGCACTGCTTGCCGCATCGAGTTTGTTTCTTCGTGTTCTAACTGTAAGCTCGGAATCGACGTTGCAAGTGTTTCTGACACGACAGTGAAGCATTACAGGATGATTCTTCGTTAAAAATATATATATATAAATCATAGCGCTTTTGGGAAAATTTTAGGGTTGAGCGAGGTGGTTTTTGAGAAATTAAAAATGGGAACGGTAACTATTTGGTAAGTTTTTGTACGTACAGTTACATGTAATAACTTGTAGAGAAAGGTGTCTTTCACCACTCACTTATTTTTGTTCTCCTTCGTTAGCCTTCTAATGTGTTTTGAATGATTTGAAATGTTTGGGTGAAGTTAGGGGTTTGAGAATTTGGGGGGTTGGGAAATTAGGAAATTTGGAATTTGGGAGATTGGGAATTTGGGGGTTTGAGAATTTGGGAGATTGAGAATTTGGGGGTGTGAGAATTTGGGGGTTTGAGAATTTGGAAGATTGGGAATTTGGGAGATTGGGAATTTGGGGGTTTCGGAATTTGGGAGATTGGGAATTTGGGAGATTGAGAATTTGGGAGATTGGAAATTTGGGGATGTGAGAATTTGGAGGGTTGAGAATTTGGGGGTTTCGGAATTTGGGAGATTGAGAATTTGGAAGCTTGAGAATTCGGAAGATTGGAAATTTGGGGATGTGAGAATTTGGGGGTTTGAGAATTTGGGAACTTGGGAATTTGGGAGATTGAAAATTTGGAAGCTTGAGAATTGGGAAGATTGGAAATTTGGGGATGTGAGAATTTGGGGGGTTGAGAACTTGGGGGTTTGAGAACTTGAGGGTTTGAGAATTTGGAAGATTGAGAATTTGGAAGCTTGAGAATTCGGAAGATTGGCAATTTGGGGATGCAAGAATTTAGGAATTTAAGAATCTGTGAATCTGAGAGTTTCCAGAACGTGAACTCAAAACCTGTCAAATTTAGGTTCCCGAAGAATGAGAAATTTGTGCCTCCGCAAATATGAAAAATCATAAAACTAGATGTACTAATTTGAGCTTCTGAAAATCAGAAATTTGAGCATAAAGCTGCGCGCGCATATGAGCCCCATGTAATCACACATCACTGTACGTATAAAAACTTAAAAATCATTTTAACAGAAAATGATACATGGTATAAAATTTATTGTACAACTTCGATTTATTTCTTAAGGAAAAATCACCCTGTGCCCATTTGTATCGTGTTTTGCACCCTTGAGAAACAAACTCGAGGAAGCAGTCAAAGAACATACGCTACTTTTCTCTCAGCACGCCTCGGTACACACTCATACGAACATTCGCTCATTCTATAGATAATCATGTACATTTTGAGTTCCGTTTCTTTTAACGAACATTACAAACGCGTCCGTGAAACATTTGTTTCGCTCAGGTTCGCAATCGTTTTGTATTCTCCAACGACCATGTCTATCTTCACGTTTCTCACGCTTTGTTCACTTTCCTTGGAACACTTAAGTTATTAGCGCTACGACATACAAAAGATAAGGCCGCCACGATAATACACTGACTAGATCAGTTTCATTTACTCTCTCTCTCTCTTCCTTTCTCTCATTCTCTCTTCGAAAAATCCGAGACCATCGTCCCTGTGTTTCTATATCAACAAAAATATTCAGGACACGGTTATCTCTCTGGTCAACAAAATATACTATGTGTCTCCTTTCGTATCCTGAGCACTAATCTACGACACGCGTGACCACGTTACACGCTGGGGAAGTATCCTTCGATCGGAAGTGTAATTAAAAACCTCGTATAAGCACAGCATAGGCCCTGATGAATTCTCTGTTTACGCGGGACACGAAATTTGTGGGTCAAAGAAAATCTCGTACGAGAACGCAAGTACTAACAACGGTTCGTTCATTTAGGAAGTTTTTAGAGGAACAATTTCGATTAAGGGATGCACTCGAGTGCAACGTTAGGCTTCTCAAGGAACCTGAGTACATTATTTATAATTACAAGGTGAATTCGCAACGCAGTATGAGAATCTAGAAAGTACTTAGGGGTAGTAATTTGGGGGTCTGAGATGGGTTGTCTTGGAATTTGGGGATGTAGGAATTTAGGGGTCAGTACATTTGAGAGCCTGTGAACTTAGTAATCTAAAATTTCTGAGAATTGTGAATTCAAAGGTTTGAAAATTAGGAGATCTGAAAATTGATAACCTAAGAACTTAACAATCTAAAAATTTAGAAAGTTAGGAACTTAAGAATCTGGAAATCTAAGAATAGTAATTTAGAAATGTAAAAAATTCTCAGGAACCCCAGAAATAACCTAACCTATACACTCTGTTACATCTCCTAACATAAGCTCACAATTTAAGGACGTTACGTCCGCACGAGGTTTCGCTTGAGCCACAAATTTTGACGCCCCTGTACATATTTCGCGAACGTACACGATGTTATACAAAAGAAGACGGCAATATCGCTCGAGCATAATCGTACAATTATAAGGTACAGATTACATCGAGAGCCTAACGATCCAGTCTTTCCAACGATATGATTTTAAAACATATTCTTAAAACCGTGAAAAACTTCAACACGTTCCCTGCCGACCGAATTTCAATACACATCACGTTATTAGTAATAATTTTTGCTTGTTATATATACCTTACAATATTCATAAGATCGCAAAAATGATCATTATTTCAAAAACGTGTAGCATTATGTACTACATAAAGCAACTGTTTTTAACGTAGCAGAAATGTCTAATACGATACATTGTATATAGTTGAAGAATTTTAAAAATGAATTTCTAACTTGTCAAATTGGTATCTCGAATTAACAGTGCAATTATAGAATAATATTTGAAAGTTTCAATTTCGCTAAATTAAGTTCGAAGAACTTAATATTTGAAAGTTCTTCGCTCTCGTCGAGGGACAATCTTGAAAGGTAAAATTCCTCTAACTCGAAACGTTATGGCAGTCTATGTGTTAACGATCAAAACAGGGCAGAAAACGTATGAATAAATTATCCTTTTGGTCGCAAAATTGAACGAAAGAGGTGCCGTTTTCTCTCGTACTTGTATTTCCACGTACTCGTCTCAAAGAGCAACGCGTCTCCGATATCAGCGCGCAAATGAACGCGTCTAAGGACGAACCGAATAAAAGAAGACGGATTCAGGGATGCAACGTACTAAAAACCGTTTCGCAACGTGACCGAAATCGTGTCTCGATGTCTATCGTCGTCACAATGATCGGTAAAATGTCGGTTGACGTGGATAAGGACGGAGGTGGCTAACTAGGAACTGCGAGGCACTGCAAAAAGGTAAGAACACGAGCAGCGTTTTCTACTGGCATTCGTTTGCCGCAGTCTCACGAAATTAAACGTGTTTTATTGCTTCTGTCTATCTCTTTCTAACGTTCTTCTCTTTTAACCCTTTCGCTGCAGCGAAGTCATTTCTTGAGAATGGCATCAAAAGTTTGATTAAACGGTTATGAAATTTCAACGAATTAGTTCTAGAATAAGGTTAGTTAACGATAGTTTTTGAGTCTCTGCAAGTCTTGCTTATTACAGTAGCCATCCATGTCTGGCGATAGCCTCATTGTACTTCTCATATGCAACGATGGCCTCCAAGCACTCTACTGTAGTATTCTTTAGTACATAGCGATAGTCTAAAAATCTTTCTTGAGCGGTTATATCAAATATTACTATAATGGTAATTTGTACGGATGCTCTATACGCGTGAATACTATAGTAGCCTTCCATGCATAGTGTAAGACTATAACTATATATAGCATTTAACAAGTGATCTTCAAGCACGATTCATCGAGTGATAATCGCGATGGATGGTTACTATAGACTTACTGTACTTTCATACGCTGACATTCTTGAATAATAATTACTATAGTAATCGTTCATACGCAGCAACAGTCTTCACGAACGATTACCACAGTAACTTCCTGCACTGTCTTCGTAGCCTTTAACGCGGAACAATAGTAATCACCTGGACGGATGATTACTATAGTCTTCCATGCGAAGCAATAATTTTCATAAAGTACAGCAACCTTTCGTACAAGGTAATAATCTTTACGAATGGTTACTACATCTTTTGTACATCGTACTGATTCGAACTTTTGAATGATTACTATAATAGTCAAATTATTGAACAGCGTATTGATCGTGTCTACTACGCTTTCTGCATCGAAAGGGTTAAATCAGAGAAAAATACATCGGCGTAGGAAAATTTGACAAGTATCCTGAACTAATCCAAGAAACTTTCCATCCTGTTCGCGAAATACTATTAACGTATCTGAAATATCTATAAAGAAAGGATCTTGTACAATTTATTGGGCTTCCCGTCGCATCGGGTACATGGTTTTTAAATACGGTGCAGTAACGTAGCGTTAAAAAAACGAACGATCGTCGCGCACAAAAGAACTCCTGTCACGCTGACAGCTTCGACGAGCGTAGTCCTATTGGATCAATAATGTATGTAGATTATCAAAAAACATCACAGTCGGGTTACTAGATTTTAGAGAAGCGTCCGCTGAATTCGTACTTGGCTATACTTTCACCGAACATTGAAGCTGCTTTCTTCCGATTCTCAAATCCGATGAAAGTATTGTCACTATTCGATACTTTTAGTTCTTCCGCACGCGACGGAATCGTTCGACGCAGCTGAATAAAGATTTTCGACTGTAGGATTCTAGTACAGTATCCGTATTAGCTTTGTTTTCCCATGGAACGACTTGAAGCGGTTCTTCCTGTAGGCGCCTCCACGCGAACCATACACACAAGGTGTTCCAAAGTTAATCAAATTTGCAATAGCAATTTGACTCTACCGAACCTCGACAATTTTTAACTCCTTTTAAATGCAATTTAAATTTAAAAATAAATATAACCCGCTCCACTCTTTTTCAAAGTCTTTTAACTTAAACATCCTGTGTTCTGTCTATAAAATGACCACGGCGGGTTTAATTAAACAAAATCACATTAATCGATAAATAATAGTTGAATGATATGTCGTAACGAAATTCTTGTTGAGGTAAGCTGAAACTTTGAAACACCCTGTACGCGATCAACAAAATCAAAGAAATTCTAGAGGAACGAATTCTACGACGCCCAAGTGACCGTATATCACTTTTTGTCGAACAGGGGTAATTTGCTCCTGACGGCACCCTCGCAAACGACTAACCTCTGCGCGGCTGAGATGCTACACAGAGGAACAGGCCCCTCTAAGCTCGCTTTCAACAACGTTAACCTAGTGGAACCGGCATCGTGATCAGCGAATCGCAAGCTGCCAGCTTGCTTCCTCTCGAAGTATTCGACGATCTTTGAGATGGTTTTACTGGAAGACCCTATGCCGCTTAACCTGTCCTCCCAGCAGGAGTCGCCGCCACCTAAACTGGCTATATCCTCGGACGAGTCGGTGTATATGGAGCTGGTCCTGTGATCGTCCAACAGGAACAGGCTACTGGCTGCCGAACTACTCAGGGTCGACGTGTGTCGGCGATTCGGAGGCTCTGGACTGAGATCCTCGCCGAGGCAACTGAAGAACCCTGACTCGCAGCTTCCGCGCCTTCTGGGCTCCCAACCGTCGCGGAACAGCGGATGAGTAAACAAGCTGGCTGCGCCTACCTTCGTAGCCACCTGAAAATGTAACAGAGCAGCTGTAACTTCTGGTACTTTGTCCTATTTATAATTAAGGATAGATGAACTCTGCGATTAATTAATTCCATGACCGAACTGCGCTGTTATCTGGACATATTAATTTCCATATATTCAAACTTCTAAATTTATTAACTATAAAATATTCTAATTGACAAATTTACAAATCTTACAAGTTTACAAATCTCTGCTGAATTTTGCTGGTAGTATACATTTGAGTCTACCGGTACTCACGAGCGATTAAATCTATATAGAGCGTGATTGAAACAAGTATCACAGCGTACAAATTTGGGAATCATTATAAATTAGTCCGGTTGAAACAAACAGCCCAAAACCTCGCGATACCGATCGCTCTTTTTTCCCCGCAGAGTCTCGTAAAAACTGTCGCACCTTTCTCTCCCACTTCTTCCTGGCAGTTGGACTGCTCGGCTCAGAGCTCGGTTTCTTCCTGTCCAAGATCTTGGCGATACTGTCGTTCTGGGCAGGTTTGAACTTGGCGATAGCATCGGTGACACTTGGTCTGACGTCTTCCAGCGACGGTAGCTCCAAGCAGCTGGAGAACAAGTCACCGAGGATCTTCTTCACGCCACCCAACGCGTGGAACGGATTCGCCGTCATTGGCCTGTAATGCGGGTCTCTTCTGCTCGCCAGTTCCGCTACCCTCCTCGCTGAATGACATCTCGCCTTGTCCGACGGCGTCGCGTTATCGCAACCTCTCGCGTCCGCCGATTGACTCCTGAGACGAGCGGTCTTACGTTTCATGGAACGTCCCTCCCGGGTGATCTCGTCCATGCTGGACATCAGGCTCGGGTCCACGGACTGACGTTTACAGATACTCGTCTTCGATTCCTCCTCGTAATTGCTGATCATGCTGTCCAGGTTCGCGGTGATCTCCGGGAAGGTTGGCCTCGACTTTGGCTCGTACTGAAACCAAAAGGTTTTTATTTTTAGTTCATCTGTTTATCGGTCATTTCGTTCGACAGACAGTACGTGATCGTTTGAAGAACTCATTTTTATTATTATGCAATATCAGGCGCGACCTTGAGGGAAACGAACAATAAGCATTTGCTTGATATTAAACGCGGTAGAAATTTTCTTTCTTTTTCAGTATGATTGCTGGTAATCATGGTTACGCGTTAACTAAGCGGAAAGCCTAAATTGTCGACTGTACTTGTGGAATTGGATGACGTGTACAGTGTATCCGTTCTAGGTATACACCTGATTCTTGCAAGTATCAGCGTCTCACGGACTGCTAATTTATTTTATATCATACTGTCCACAGTGATTAACATGTATGGATAGTAACATATCAAATATTAGTATCGTAATGTAACAGTTGTTTTCTTCCTCCAGTAACAGAAGATTCAGGCAAATTACATGGACGAATGGACAAGTTGTTCGAATGAACAGTTCTTAATTCTTAGTTTGCGATTAAAAGAAGTTGAGAATAATCGATGAAGATTCCGATAAATCCTTACTCACCGTGCAACAATTGAAGGCAAGCTGCAGGAAGGCTGGTGGTGGATCAGCTGCCGCGCAGATCTCTGCCACGGCCAGGTAATCGAGGCCAAAGTTATCTGACCGTGGCAGAACGTCCGGATCGGCCGGCACGCGGCCGATCAGCTCGCAAACCACGATGCCGAACGAGAAAACGTCCGACCTGTGATCGTACCATTGACCCTTCAGGCATTCCGGTGACATCCAATAGGGACTGCCTACCGTGCTCAGCCTGTATCCCGAACTGGGATCGGGAATCTTAGCTGCTAATCCAAAATCGCCCACCACCGCAGTCAACTCGGAAGTGTTCTCGTCCTTCTTGATCAGTACGTTCTTCGAGGTGAGATCGCGATGAAACAGACCTCGACTGTGAAGATACGTCATCCCTCGTGACACATCCCTGGCTAGGTTCATCCTAATTAGATGTGGAAGCGGCGTATGCCTCGACATGATCAGCTGTTCCAGACTACCGCCGTTTATGTATTCTGTTAACGCGTGCAGCTGACCCTCGTGCACGCATACGCCCATGAACCTGCAAACGATTGAACCTTGCTGAAATGTTTCGCAGGAAATTGTGCTTGGAAAAAGGAAGTTAAGATACACGCGTGACTCATCGTGTTGAGAAGTTACAAAAGGCTGTAATGAAGCTACGAGAACTTAGACATTTTTAGAAACTTTAAAGCTTCATTCATATCGCCTTTTTCTGTTCCTATCAGAATCATGTAACTTTAGGATCATGAGACTTTACTTGGCATTGTAGGTTAAAGGAGACTATTTTCATAAATTCATATCTCGTCAAACATAATTTCTGACGTCTCAGCCAACAAACAGAAACTGTGTAGCAACCGTTAACGTTATTCTGATTGCGAGAGACGTTCCCAAGACCTTTCTGCGGAACAAATTGCAGCTGAATAATTGAGGAAAGAGCTAAAGTTCCCCTTTAAAGGCACGCTTCTCGATTTTCGAAGAACAGATTTTAGAGTGCCACCTTTACTTGTCCTTGCCGAGGAAACCAAAGATGAGAGAAGGTTTTCTGTTTGACGGACAGCGTGGTTTAATTGCCAAGCAAGTCGCGGACTCGGTTCCATTTATCAATCGACGCACGAACCAATGAGTTGTTTCTGTCGTTACTCATCTTTTCTTATAAAGGTTGTAACTAGTGATGGCCGTTCAATACCCCTGCTTTCAAAAGGCTAGTAATGGCGGACTCGGTTATAGCCGTTACTCGAATTAATTTAAGTATGGTAGATTTTCAGTGTAAGTTATGTTGCCATGAACTTTAATATAAACCAAATAACTACTTCAAACAAAATAAAAATTATAGTATTGTCAAATTAGAGGAACACGAAACTGAATAATAAATGACATGTATGAAATTTATTTACTTTCAGATTTTTATTACGTATCAAAGTACCCAAGAATAATTTGTAGCAATTTTTGTATACTTCTCCGGTAAAATTCGAGAAGATTGCACATGAGAAAGGTCACGTATTAGTTTCTAATTTAATTATGATCATTTTCTCATAGGCGTCTATTATAAGACTTTTTCAATCCAGCAAATAATCTACCACAAAAGTTCGATTTCACACGTTAAAAGGAAACTTCCAGACTCTGTTACGTAGGAAAAATTCCCAGAATGTTATGAGCTGTATTGAATTCGTCGTAACAACCTCCGGAAACGAGCAATTCCGAGACCTCAATGTCTTAGCGATGAATTGTCGGACAATTTACCCTTATCACTCGTTATCGTAATACCCTCGATTCGAGGATCAGAATTTTACAACAACGTTTACAGCATCGTGCGATCATCGACACGGTTCGATTCGCACGATCGCCTTACAGTGCCTTATGGTGTTATCGCGATTCGTTCATGCAGATAAACGCCCCGAAAAGATTCGAATAATCGCCGACAATAAACCTTGCATTATTTTAATGTTTTGTAAATAACGAATGATTATATTTAATCGCTGCTATTACTTTTAATGGTTCTTACAATGACGTTTCTTTTTTCTCGACTGCTGATAAAAATTATAATTAGCTTGCCTTTGAATTAATAATACTATTATCTTTCTTCTTTGTGGTATAATTTGAGAGCAGAAAAACACTATACTTATAGTTTAAGTACTATGACAGTAAGGTTAATAGTAGTGACAATAACAATATACTGTAAGAAATATGAGTTCATTTATAAAAGACACATTTATTTAATAATTATAATAGAAATTTTTAATAATCGAATGCTGTAAAATTCAGCCTTAACTAAAATTTGAGGTTCTATGATTTTAACAAGGTTCTCAATATTTTACCAGTTTCTTCATATACTTCATGAAGGTCCTTACGTCATATGTGACTTCATGATGGTCCTTGCGTCACATGTGACATATGTGACCGGCGCAGCAAATTCAGCCAAGTCAATTATTTGCAAAAAAAGTAAACGAAAGAAATTTTCGAGAGTTCTTAATATCAAAACAATGATAAAAATGAAAAGAATGAGTATCCTTGTTATTAATAATCCACAAACGTCATGTGGCAACGTGTGTCAATGACTGATAATTCCGTGTAAAATGCGTACGCAGCTAGAAATACGCCTTTGATAATCGATCGTCTTCAGTGACGCGCGAACAGCGTTCACGAAAATGTGGGAGTACAATAATAAATGAGCGAATACTCAGCATCGTAACTTTCTCGAAGAGACGCATCTCCCTCGAAACTTAGGGTATTCTCGGCTGTCGCAACCAGTTGGTCGTCGAGTTAATGCCAAAAGTCGTTTCGCGGTTCGCAACGTTACGAGTTATGACATAATGACCACGCGCAGCGTCGCGACGATGCTCGGCGGGTAGACGGTTCGCGGTGCGCCGCGACGCTGCTGCATCCGCGGCGACAACGCATTCCAACGATATAAACGGCTTGGCCCAGATTCGGCTGTGTGTGTTTATCCCGCGTGGCCAGCGGATCTTATTTCTGGCATTTCTCTCGTTGAAGGCTGCGAAAACCGCGGACAGGACGCGACTCTTTTCGAATGAGTCAGTTCGAGAGAAAGAAACAGGATATCGTCTGTTATCGGTGTGGAATAACGCCAATTCTGAACGACCAATTTCGTAACTGTTGGAACAATAGACCATGCCAGGTACCTGATGAATGAAATCGTTTCGCACTTACTAGTCTCGCTATATGGCTCTCTACGGAAAATTTTACACTTCTGAATTTTTAATAAAAATTCTTGTACTAAATAATGGACGATCTGGTAATCGATTCTGGTATGTCGATCTTCAACGACTGCAAGATTGAATGGCATGAAATCGTTTCGCACTCACTAGTCTTGCTATATGGCTCTCTACGGAAAATTTTACACTTCTGAATTTTTAATAAAAATGCTTGTACTAAATAATGAACGATCTGTTAATCGATTCTGGTATGTCGATCTTCAACGACTGCAAGATTGAATGGCATGAAATCGGTTAGCACTCACTAATCTCGTTATATGACCCTCTACGGAAAATTCTACGCTCTTAAATTTTTAATGAAAATGCTTATAGTAAACAACGAACAATCTGTTAATCGACTCTGATAGGTCAATTATCAACGACAGCAAGATTGAATCGTTTCGTACTTACTAGTCTCGTTTTATGGTCCTCTACAAAAAATTCTACACTTCTGAATTTTTAATAAAAATGCTTGTACTAAATAATAAACGATCTGTTAATCGAGTCTGATGGGTCGATCTTCAACGTCTGCAAGATTGAACAGCATGAAATTATTTAGTGTTCGTTAGTCTCGATATATGGCCCCATAAAAAAAATTCTACAGTTCTAAATTTTTAATAAAAATGCCTGTAGCAAATAATGAACAATCTGTTAGTCGACTCTGATAAGTCGATCAACGATAGCAACGTCAGAAATAGAATTAATTAAATAATCGACATTTCGTAGGGCATCGAAAGCCATTCGTTTATTAAACCAATCGACTGTCCGGACTATTGATACGTTTGTCCTCCTCGAAAGTCGATACTCGAGAATATCTGCCTACATGCATTTATTCGCGAATGAATTCGAACTGGCCGTCAAGAGACAATAAAAAAAGTTCCAGCCCTAGATTGCTTCCACACGCAAACGTACTGGTTGCCTCCATCTCCCGATGTATTATTGAGCCAGTTTCTATTTTCATCGGGATGCCTGTGACAACGGGTGTTCTGCTTTTAAATTAAAAGTCGACGACACGAGAACACACACGTGACGAAAAACACGTTCGATAGACCGTTTCGAGGGTCGATTTAATCGGAATTACGTTGGGAGATTCGAGGTTGGAAATCGTGATACGAAAGTGATTGAATCTTTCAATTTCTTGAGAATGTACATTGAACTTCCATTTCGATAGTTCAATCATAGTTTCAACTTTGAAATGGAAAGATTGAGTTTTCGAGGTAGGTTCAGATTTGGATTTCACTTTGGTCTTCCATTTCAATTTGGAGTTAGACTTCAGGTTGGACTTAGATTTTATTTCAATTTATCTAATTTGGACTTAGATTTTATTTGAGTTTAGACTCAAACTTGAAGTTGACTTTCAGCTTCAGTCTCCACAAGTTTATAATTAGACTCACATACTTTGAACGGCTTTTATTTTGACTTCGGGTTGCAACTTTGAAACCGAAGTGGAAGTCAGGTTTCAGGAAGACTAACACCGCATCCACTTACCTCAGAATGTTTGGATGGCTGAGCTTATTCATCAACTGAACTTCTTTCAGCATGTTCGGCCTATTCGCAGGCAGCTGGTTCATCTTCAGAACCATTACCTGACTCGTCACTTTGTGAGTAACCTAGAAAACAGAAACAGCAGATGTTAGAACGTCAATTTCTTAAATTTTCTACGCTGTTCACAAATCGCTACACATTCTACTCTCACGGTTTCTCGAACATCGAAGTTCATAGCGACTGTATAAAAATCTTAATGAACCATTTTATCAGACTTCAAATTAGAAGAACAGATTTATGTTCTGGCTTTCTACGTCCCTAAATAGAGCACAAATTAATATAAATCAATTACCACTAATAAAATTACAGAGACGAATGATAAATAGAATTAAGGAGACGTCAAACGACTCGTTGCGTAAAAATCAGTTTAGAAAGTCCCAGTAAAAAGAAATCAATCAGACTCTACGAAGATCATCGTTTTCGTCACGCATAATTGAACTAATTAACAGTTTTCCCAAAGCGGTGCCATAATTTATGAAGCTTCAAGTAAGCTCGAGCTCTTTGAGCGTACTTTCTCGCGTTACAATCTCCGCCAGGCGTTTCTACATCGAGAAGCTTATCTCAATGTAAATTACTGTGTAATTAAGCGTTCTCCTGAATGACGACGCGAGACATCATCCTGTTCGTTGTTTCGATCGTACAACGATATCTGAACTCGCGTTTTCACAGCTCGAAAGACGCGTGAGAGAACAAGCCTCCATTCTCACGAAACAGGAACGTATTAATTCGCGACACGTCCTTTTAGAATCGCTATTGCGTATTCCTACCAACCCTCGTGCCTTCAGGTACAAATTTTATCACGCATTTTTCCTTTTAACTAATCGTCAAATGTTTTCGTGATATGTTATTACTCGTGGCATATTATTATTTCAAGTATATAATATTATATATAACTTCACATATGACTGCATGTAGTTAAGGGGAACATGTTTAATTGTATAAGGGAACTTCTTCATATAGGTAGCAGATCTGTATGAAAATTTAATTTAGAATTTAAACTTCATGTATTAAATTGAAAATTCGTATTTATAATTTTGATGTACATATGTCACACGTGTGTGAGAGAAGCGGTGGTTAAAGTGTTAGAGGAAAATCAACTTGAGCTGCCAATTATGTCAATCAATTTTCAAGGACATCAGCTTCAAAGACATATCGACAATCAATTTCACTGAAAAGTTAAAAATACCATAAAATTACAAAAATTAAAAATGTCAAACATCTATGAAGTTCACAAACTTCCTCAACTTCGAAAATGCACTTCTAAATTGTACAACTTTAAATTGATGAATTTGTACATATAAGACCTGGCAATAAGTAGAAGGAATAAAGATGATGTGGTTAGGAGGTGAGTAGGTCTAATTGTAATTACAGGGCAACGTCGTGGTGCCGTGGTTATGTTCTCGATCGGGTTCTCGCGAGAATCCTAAATCTTTTGATAACGGTACCCGCTTCACGCCGTTGCAGATGCAACGAGCGTGTTCTACGCGTTACGGAAGCACGGCCGCGCGAGAATTCGTAAAAGTGCGAGACGATGCGATGGGCCGTCCCGTTACGCGAGCAAATTATATTACCAAAATTATCCACTCAGTAACCCAATATGCATATTTAACGCAGAAAAAACAGTTAATTAAAACCGTAACGCTCAGCCCCGAGGTTATCCGCAACGCGACGCCGCATTCCGGTGTCATTGGACACGGCCTAAGAAACGTGGAAGCCCCAAATCCTCGAATCGGTTCGAACACGGGCGAATTCTCCGGTGGTTTCCATTTTTAATTTGGTCTGACAAGTAAACCTACCCAAGTGTCACTCTCCGATTTTGATGAAATTTGGATATGTTATAGTACATGGAAAATTAGGGGACACGTATTTTTTTTTAGCTGCGGTAAAACATATTTAGGGTATGAAATAACCCCCCAAAGTATGAGGGTAAAATGGAAAAATTGCAATATTTTCGAAATCAGTGAAGCAATTTTGATGATTTTTGGTATGAAAGTATCTTTCGATAGAAGACAAAAATTGGCCTAGGTATGTTGGAAGGGGAGTGAAAATTAGGGGGTGAAATACCCCAAAGCGACCAATTTCTTGCTGTAAAAAAATCGGTTTTGATTTGATCGAAATAAAATCTATTAAAACTTCAAGAGGAAAGCTAATTAGGGTACACGTATTTTTTTTTTTTTTTTTACATAAATATTTGGGACGTAAATAACTCCTAAATTACCGCGCTCGTTCGGCACTATGCATGAT